CCTCACATGGCCCTTTTAAATGGGTCATCCTGTATCAGTGCCGGGGCTTTCCCCAGACACAGCTTTTCCTCCGAATTCTACCTCCTCCACTCCCCCCTCCCCCTGCCCCAATTCCTTTCTGTAGGGGAAGGAAATGCCCACCACTCCCCTCCCTCTCCGCCCCCCCCTCCACAGATGTGTATGTATATAAGGGGATGAACAAGCACCAGTAAGAGGACTTGGGAAGGAAGAAACAAACAGAACTTCCTAAGGATGCCCTGTTCCCACCCCTTCCCCAAGGCATGGGAAACAGCCCTGATGGCCCAGAAGTTCCCACGGCGAGGGCAGACCCCGCCCCCACACACACATACAAGAGCCATGGGGTGGGGCATGGGGGTTGAGGAGGGAGGTAGGAAAGCAGTTGTATTCCAGTTTCCACTTCTCTCTGGCAAGTAGCCCATGGCCTGTGGTGGATGATCAGCCCCATCTGAGAGCCCAGTGCCCTTCCAGAAGGACTCGGCTTTCCCCAGTCAACTGGGAGCTTGCAGTTCCCAGAGTATGTTATGCTGTTTGGGGCTTGACAGTGAAAAGGACTCATTTTTTCATTAGAAAGATTGGTTTCCTCTCATCAAGAGGCCCTTTTTACCCAGATCAACTCAGTGCCCAGCAATTCAGAGATGCATTAAGAGAAACCATATGAAATTGCCATTCCTCTGGGCCAGAAGCATTTGAACATTGGCATTTTCATGTGGTTCAACCTAATAAACACACTATTGTTTTTAATTCCAAAATGAAGGCTTGGTCTGTGTATGTGTGTACAGAATAAAACACCTTGTAACAGAAAGGAGAAAAGCATGGATTTTACAGTCAGGAAATCTGGGTTTGAGGACTAGTGTTGCCATCCTAATAGCCCTGAGATCCCTCACTTCCCAGGGCCTGAGTTCCCTCATCTGTGAGCCCTTCTCCACGAGGTAGTTGTGAGAACAACATGAGGGAGATGGATGTGAAAATGCTCTCCACGTGACAAATCACTATACAGCTGTGAGAGATCCTGGCTGTGTATGTGTGTGTGTCTCTGTATATTTGTAGACATGTAATTTTTTATCTTCCTGTTATCTGTACAGAGAACAATTAGAGAATGTGTCCTTTTTGCCTGAGATATGACATAGAAAATGTTTAACACTTCTGTTCCCAGGACTATCTGTTTGAATGAGAAATTCTGCCTTAAGTGAAAGTATGTCTTACTTTTCACAGAAACACTTTTGAGTTTCAAAAAGCTTGCAGTTTATATCCAGGGGTTAAATTCAGAAAATATTTCAACAGAAGATCTAGATGGCATAAATGACCTACAATCACAACTTTGTGTATTTTAGACCCTAGCAGTATAAAGACACACACAATTAAATAATTTACTTCATTGCCCATGGGCCAGAGTTCCCTTTTAAAATATACAAGATACTTCCACTTTGCTCCAGGGTTAGGTATTTCCTGAAAATGTCTGAGATCTGAATATTCACAAATTGAACCATATCGTTCAAGTGCAAGGAATGATTATTGTGTAGAAGACACAAGTGTGATCTCTATGTTGTAAGGTTCACTTTATTAGGTAGAAGCCCTTTGGAAGGACAAATGATGACTCCCTAATTTATCTGTGTCCTCCTTTCCTGTTTCCCGAGTTGGGTTTTGTTTAAGTCATTTGACAAGAAGCTGTTTCTCCCGAGGGATACGGGGATATGGAAAGCTATACTGGAATGGCGTCTCCCTCCTGCATTTCAGCATCTGAGCTCTTAACTGGTTGGGGGAGCAAGAAGCCACGGGACTGGTTACTGCCTCGTTTGCTATGGGTGAGTTAGCCTCTCACCCAACAGAGGCCCTGGGAGAGAGTGAAATTAAAGGGCCTGCAAGAGGTTTGCATTCCCCAGGGGCCCAAAGGCCTTTCAACATTTACAGCCACAGCCGTGCTGGCTGACCCGTGTTTTTTTTTTTCCGTTTCTCCTGTTGTTTCCCTGTGCTCATTTTATCGGGAAAATGAGGCAGCTGGTGGGAAGTGGTGACTTTGTAGTTTAACCCCTCAGTTGCTGGGAGACTAGTTATTTACCAATGCTTGTCCAGCTCTGGGGGCAGCGGGGACAGCCAGCAGGGACAGACAGGATGTGACCCTGTCTCACAGTGTGGGTGGACAGAGCCCTGGACCAGGAACCCTATCCATCTTTCCCTAACTCACTGTGACCTTGAACCAGCCCTCCTGGAAGCTCAAGTTTCTTCTTCCCTGAAATGCAGGGCAGAGGGTGTGACAGGATCAGCCAGGCAGACTCCAGTGCCTGCAGGGGCCAGGCAGGTATTGTAGGTGAAGCTGGTTGGAGAGAGCTTTGGCAGAACTGGAGCCCCTTAGCTCCCTCCAAGGTCACTGAGTTCAGAAGCTTTAAAGCCTCCGCGCAGGACAAACTCACTGTCTTTGCCTCGGATCCAGAGACTAATATCCGACCCTTCGGTGACACCACATGCCAGGCAGTGTTGTTAATGCATCATCTGCATTAATTCATTTCACCTTTATGACATGACGGGTGAGTAGGTCATTGAGATAGACACTATTGTTATCTCAAATTTACAAGTAAGAACACTAAAAGAAAAAAGACTTCTGAGCCATCCCACTGATGGTCTTGCCAGATCAAAAATATGGAATATGCTAGGATAGACCCTGCATAGGGCCCCAAGGGGCATGGACCCCAGCTGAAGAAGAGCTAGCCAGTATATTCTAGACTTACTTGGCCTAATATCATCACTCAGAACACAGTGAAAGAGATACTGTCTTCAGGTAAGATATTCAAAGATTTTTATGAAAAAAAAAAGATATTAGAACTGTCACTTTTGTTTTTAATTGTCATAAAATTACATAACATAGAATTTGCCATCTTAATCACTTTTAAGGATACAATTCAGTAGTACAAAGGGGATTTACTCATCCACAGAACTTTGTATCTTGCAAAACTGAAACTCCATACCCATTAAGCACTAACTCTTCATTCCCCTCTTCCCCCAACTCCTGGCAACCACCATTCTACTTTTTATCTCTATGAATTTGACTCTAGGTACTTCATGTAAGTAGAATCATGCAGTATTTGTCCTTTAGTGACTGACTCATTTCACACAGCATAATGTCTTCAAGGTTCATTCAACCTAGAGTATGTGTCAGAATTTCCTTCCTTTTTAAGGCTGAATAATATTCCATTGTATAGATATACCACATTTCGTTTCTCCATTGGGTTGCTTCTACTTTTTGGATATTGTGAATGATGCTGCTATGAAGTGGGTGTCACTTTTAAGGGAGAATTAAGACCGCTGAGTGGACATCACAGGGAGGCAAAACCTGGCTGGACAAGAGCGGGAAGAGCCTTTGGTGATGGTTGTCCCTTCACAGGGCTGCCCCGGGAGGTTGTGAACTCCCTATCACAGGGGTTGGAGGGCCATTTTTTTGGCTGCTTGACAGTGGGTGTCACCTTTGGGAAGAGATGGTCCGTCAGGCAACTCCCAAGGACCTGCCTATCCTAGGGTTTCAGCCCAGAGAAGAGGTGAGGGGCCGCCCACTGCTGGTTAGCTCAGACTGGATTGCCAGATCCAATGGAGAAACTCCCCTTTTGTTCCCTGAGTCCCAGTGAGGCTCCTCTGTGCGCAGACACCAGCAAGTGACAACATGGTCCTGCCATCTGCTTCTTAGACAGAACATGTCAGCAAGCAGAGACTATACTCCCGCACCTAAAGAGAGGTCATGTGTTGCCTACCTCACCCTTTGTGAAGAAGGGCTTGCTAGTGAAGAATAATGGGGAAAAGAGAGGTGATGGGCAAGAAGCCAAATGCCGTAGGATTTCTCCCTCTTTTTGGCAGTTTCCCTGCATCTTGCTTGCTCTACTGAAGCTTCCATAGACATTATTGTATGTGCCAGTGTTCAGGGCCTCTGAGAAGTGTAACGTGTGTGCCTAATATCAAAGGAGTGCAAGATGAGGCCCCACAAGCTGAATCCAGAGTAGGTGGGTGGGAGGGAATTGAAGCCCCTGGCTGCGGCCAGTTGCTTCCTACCCTAGGGCTGATGTGTTCCAGGAAGATTCCAGGCTTGCTTCTGTGTGTTCATGCATCTGTGTAAATGGAATAGTGCTTTGAATGCACTGCAGGAGTGCTCCTCAAAGCAACCCTGTGGAGGAGTCTTTTGTAAAGTGAAAAATCCTTTTGTAAGGTGAATAATTGTCCTCTGTTTATCTGCTTTGGAGGCTCAGAATGTTCAGATTCTCAGGGGAAAGGGGGATTTGTTTGAAGGCCATTAGGCCCACCCCCTTTCCAATGTCCAGATTCTCTAGAGCATCTTCTCCAAGTGATGCAAAGTGCCCGTGTGAACCCCTCAATGATGGGAAATTCATGATGCCCCAAACGGATCATTCCTTTTATGGACAGCTCTGCTTATTAGGAATGAAAACTTACCCTGACCTTAAAGAAATCTTTCTCCAAAGTTTTCATCCACTGAGTCTTCTACTTACAGGCTACACCAAATGTGCCCTTTCCTCGTTTTTACTCACTTGATCCTTGATGATGATGAACTTGACCCTGACTCATTTGCTTCGTTTGTTCCTCATGTGAGGATTTTGGGGGTTTTTTTTTCATCACTCTCATGATTCCACTTGACTTGGCATGGTTTGCTGTCCTGCATCCTTTGTAACTGTGGCACCCACAATTAATGCAACACTCAGGCTGTGTCTATCTATATAGAGAGACAGAGACTGTCACCTCCTTAGATCTAGATTTTCTTCCTCTGTTGGTGCAGATCATGGGCTTTTGTGACAGTAATAAACTTACCGTTGCCTAAAATCTCAAAGCCATTCTGGTATGATTGCGGCCATGCTGCAACTAAGCCACCACCCCCTCATTCAAGACTTAATGGAGATTATTTTTTTTTATGTCAGGTTTTCTTCAGCGATGCACAGCTGCAGAGGAGTGGTCCATCTGGAACTAATGGAGCTCTCCTTTTTCCCTAGAACTGGTCAGGCATGAAATGTCAGTTCAAGCTGCTGAGGATGGCTGTGGCCTTGATCTGCAGTAAGTACTGGGGGCAGGCTGGGTAGGAGCAAGGGAGCCTTGCATGAGGCAGGGGGATATAAAGACAGTACAATCCTGCCTTCCCAGGGCTTGTGGTCAAGAAAATACAGCGAGACATGTCAATTCTGTGCAACCAAGTGGGAATGTTAAGAGAGAAGCCTGGCCTGCTATGCTACCTCATAGCCTTTCTCAAGCTTTTTTACTGACATTTAATATACAAACAGAAATGTACACAGAGGCTAAGTGTCCAGCTCAATGACCAGCACCCAGATCAAGAAAAATAACTCTGTAACAACCTTTCGGGTCATGGAGTCAATCCTTTGAGATTTCCTGTTGAAAGGTGGAGACCCTTTACCCAGAAAAATGCACATAGGCACACATTTTTGCATGCACACACACACACACACACACACACACACACACACACACTCAGACTTGCAGTTCAGCAGGTTCACAAACTGTAACCAATCCATGAACCCCAGTGAACAGGGTCAATGGGAGGTCCCAGTTGAGAGCGGTCAGTTCTGGATGCAGAGATAAATACAAAACACCTATTTGTGTTCACCACATAGACAAGGTGTGAGGGGGCATTTTGGGCAGAGATGCAGCGTGAACATAGACACGGGTGGGGGAAGGCCACGGCCAGGTAGTCCATTAGCAAACCTGACCTATGGGGCTTGGGACTGTGTGTGGTTGTGACCAGAGATGACAGGAGTCACATCATGAAGGGGTTTAAATGTGCAGATTAAAATTGCACTTCATCCTGAGCACACTGGGAGGCCCCTGGAGGGCTTTAAACACGTAAGTTACTGACAGATTCGAGTTTTAGGAGACTAGTTGGGCTATTGAGAAGGAGTTGGGTGGTGAGGGGCAGTTGAGACCAGAGGCCAAGAGGCTCAATCTGAGTTGGAAAGAGAGAAGAGTCTAGACAGAAGCAATGGAAGTGGGAAAGGAGAAGAGGAACACAGTTTCTCATTAGTCTTCAGGACATGACTAGGAAGAGGGTATTTTTTAGTAGGCTTAATCTACAGGTAGGCACTTGAGGCTCAGAGAATTAAGTTCCTTGCCGAGGATACCCAGCTGGAGATGGCGGAGCCAGAATTCAGAGCTATCTCATGTCACTTCTGACATCCCATACTTTAGCCAGGCTGGGCAGGAGCCCCTTGACTGTCTTCCCTGTGCGTCTCTGGGGAAGTGAGATTGAACCAGAGCAAACACGGATGGAAGGGGGGCCTGTGTAGACTTCACTTGAATCCACATCCCTTGCTTCCCATACCCCACAGCTTTCAGGGCTCTCTGAATGAGGTTGGAGGGATCTCTAATCTCAGAGAGGACCTTCCAGCTCTAAAACCCACAGGCTCTTTGAGCCAAAACAGTTGGGGGCTAGTAGTGGGGAGGAGGACCGGGGTGAGCATAGCTTCCCTGTCTGCTCAGCCTCTGAGTTTGTTTGCCTGCGCAGAAGGGAAGAGACGCATGAATCTTGCTGTTTAAAAACAAATTCCCCTCTAAGCATCATAAAAACTAAAATGCTACTTTGGAGAGGGAGACCAATGTCTTTTGAACCTCCCTTGTGGAACCCAGGGCTTGCTAAACAAGGGCAGGAAGGTTGCGCCGCCGTGGCCTGGGGAGGGGTCGGGGCAGACACAGTGTCCGTCCCTGGCTGCTCCTTGTCCGCCATCTATCGGGCATCCTTGGAGTTGCAGGGCCCAGGCCAGAGTTAGGCAATCCTCGCGAGAATCAATATTCCTGGAGGTGCTGATGGGCCTGGAGTGGTTAGGGTGGAGGCAGGTGCTCTGATTAATTGAACAGTAGCTGAACAAGTACAAAATTTCTCTCAAAACAAAATTTATCTCTCAGTTTGTCAAATTTGCTGTGGTTTCCTCATCTGTGAAATGGAGATAAAAATCGTTGCTCTCAGCATTCTTTGGTGGTAGGTAGAAATGGCACAGTTTCCCAGCATCTATCCTTTCAGGAGAGTGTGGCCCACTCGATTGGCCAACCCAAGAAGTTCATGCAAGAAGGATGGATTGGAGAACAAGATGTCGGCCTTTAAAGAGATACATTCTGGCACTTTGTTGGAATCATTTCCATTCCTTCTTTACCCTTCTTTCCAACCACAGAAACACTGGTTCTGAGGGTTTTCCTAAGGGTTTTTAAATAATACATGAAAGCACTTTATAAACTGTAAAGTGCTAGCACAAATTGAAGGTGTACTAATGTACCAGGAGCCTGGTACACAGAGGCTGAGGTGTGTATAGATGAGGAGATGGAGTCCCCGGGACTCCAGGCCACAGGCAGGAGTGCAGGGGCCTTTCACCTTCTGCTTAAGCTGGTCCCTCTGCCTGGGGCTCCTCTGAGGTCTTCTATTGATAGTCACATCTCTGCTCCAAGGTCACCTCTTTCAGGAGCTCTTGCCTGATTCCCCAAACTAAAGAGTCCTACTCCTTATGCCCAGCATTAATTTTAAATGACCTATTTTCCCCATAGAAATTCTCTTACTGAAACTATCTTATGTATGTAATTATATGCTGGTTGGCTGCCAGGGCCGCTCAGCCCTGGGAGAACAGAGTTTGTCCATCTTCCCTCCCTGTCTCCAGGTTCTAGAACATAAGGGGCTTGGCCTAACGGGTAGGGAATGAATTAGTGGGTGGCCGGTGGGTGGCTGGATGTGAGGCCTCTCCCGCAGCCCCTGCCCAGTGGCGCCCCTTTGACTTGCTGCGCTTCCTCCCTTTGCAGTGAGCATGGAGTTTGGGCGTGCCGTGTGGCTCCGCTTCCACCCGTCAGCCTACCCTCCATGCCCCCACCCGAGCTTCGTGGCGCACCTGGGCGGCGTGGCTGTGGGCATCACCCTGGGCGTGGTGGTCCTGAGGAACTACGAGCAGCGGCTGCAGGACCAATCGCTGTGGTGGATTTTTGTGGCCATGTACACTGTCTTTGTGCTGTTTGCTGTCTTCTGGAACATCTTTGCCTACACCCTGCTGGACTTAAAGCTGCCGCCGCCCCCCTAAGGAGCTGGAAAGCCCGGTCAGGGAGGGGAGGGAGAGGCAGCATCAGAAAGGAGCAGTGCCTGCTTTTCTTCATCACCAGCTCAGTGAGGCCAGGGAGGAGAGGACGGTACTGGGCAGCAGTGTTACTGTGTTCAGGTCTGGACAGACAGTGGTGACTCTTTTCTGAAAGACACCTGCTGCAGGAGTTGATGCTTTTCTAGACTGTTCTGAAGACATCCAGCCAGGGCTGAGGTCCAGGGTGGGGTGAGAGTGGTCCTCCCGGCCCCAGATGTTCAGGGGTCCCCTCCCTCATCACAGGTTGAGCCGCAGCCTTCTCCCTCACCCTTCACCCTGAGAGACCCTGTGAGTTTACGGAATGCCTGAGGGTGGTAATCAAGAAGGCCCTTATCCAGCCCAAAGAGTGTTACAGCCACAGATGTTCCCTCTACTGCCGTTGGGTCTGGAGCTCTGGCGTGGAAGAAGGCCTGGTGGTGGGCATGTTGGCTTTGGCCTGGGGGAGCCCAGGGTGCCCTTCTGTGCCTGCTGGTGGGCACTGGGGAGCGGCCTCTAGTGCCCGGGGTGGGCTGAGGAGGGAGATGCTGTGACCTAGGCCCTACCCGTGTCCTGAGGTACCCAGCGAGAGACATCCAAGCAAGGGGGAATAAACCTCATCCAAAGCTCCGCCCTGGGAAAGGTGCAGTCCCAACTTCGGACCTTTCTCTGTCCCCAAATGCAGGCATCCCATGCCAGGGCCCTAGCATCCCGTGGCTGCTTTGTTTGCAGAGGCTTTTCCTTCCCTTCCATCACCCTGCCCCTACTTTGTGCCTCTCTCTCCTTTTGTTCTGGAGGCAGCGTTCTGACAGGGTGGTTCCATTAGCAGAGATGCTCCTGTGACAGGAAGACAGTGTAAGGTGGGTGGAGACTGCAGAGGAAGCCCGAGGGGCCATGGGGTGTGTGGTGGGGGGCCTGCCTGAGAGGAGGAAGGTGCTGAAAAGTATAGGGTCTGGCTTCTGGGGATCCTTATCCCTTCTCTCCATCTGCCCCCGTTCCAGGCATCTCCTGAGAATGCTCCCCCACAGGAGACTTGTCTGCAGTGGAGGGAGACCTCCGGCCCTTCTAGGGACCCTTGGGGTGGTGAAGTTCTCCTTACCTTTGCCAAGTTCTGCTCTTATTTCCCTGTGGAGTAGCCTTTATATCTCCAAAGATTCTGTTCTGCTCCCTTAGGAGGGAAGGAGCTTTGAGGGTGCCAGAGAGGCTGGGGCAGGAATAAGGAGGCCATGTGTCCATTTGAGTCAGGAGGACAGGAGGCTGCAGTAAAAGGAATTCCAGTTGAGGTGGAAAAAAATTGTTGGGTGCTTGGTTGGGGGTCAGAGATGAGGCAGCGCATAGACTTAGATGCTCGGAGCTAGAAGGGAACTTGGAGCTTATCAAGTCCATCCCCACCTCCATGTCACAAGTGGGAAAACGAGGCTGAAGGAATGGCCTCTAGCAGAAGCTGGTGCAGGCCCTGAGGATGGTGCGGGGAGGATGGCCACTGACAAACTATGTCATGCCCTTTATACTGCTCTCAGAACTCTCAGCCACCAACAGCCCCGAAGGATGAAGAACCCGAGCCTGGAAGCCAGAGGCACTGGGTCTAAGCAGGAGTGAGGGCAGGAGTGTGGGAACTGCCTCCTGCCAGCCATGTGCCTGTCAGAATCCTTATGTGCACCAAGGTCTGAAGTCGGCCAGGCCAGGCATGTGGGGGTCATGGGCCACAGTGGCTTCCTGTCCCCAGTGATCACATGTTAATGGTCAGGGTCTTCCTACCCAGGAACACCCCCACTGAGACCCAGGCTATGCCAAGTCCTTCCCCATCTTTGCCCAATGCTGCATAAATTGTCCTGGTCCCCACATATGGCTCCTAAGTTCATGCTGCACTTGTGCCAATGCTGTGCTGAGGACCACCAGCCCGAGGTGGCACAGCCCAGACCTTTGGCTCAGCTGCATCGCCCTGAGGCATCTGGTCCCGACCCTGCCAGCCAATCTCTGCCCTACTGAGAGAAAGGTGCAGCTGAAGAGTCAGCTTCTCAGGAGGGGAGACTCAGAGCTGGAACTGGGGCCTAAGGAGGGAGGAGGGGCCTCAGCCATGGGCTGCAGCCACCCTAACCCTGAGGGGCGCTGTCCCTTCCTAGAGGAGCAGAGGCTGGTGCCCTGTGAGGGGCAGGGCTTCCCCTCCACATTACTTCTGGCACATGGGGGTCCTGGACTGCAGGTGGAGGGAGCAGAGAGGCAGCCCTGCCTTTTCTAAGGAGGCCTGAGGAGGAAAGATCTCTCAGGGGTAGGAAGACTGTGTGCTAGAAGACTCTAGAAAGTCTTCAGAGAAGAACCCCATTCATTCAGGGCTTCAAAAGGAAGCATGTTACCGAGGACTACTTGAGGCAGAAACCCCTTCGTCCACCTGCTAAGTCAGTCCTCCGAGGCCTGGGAAATGCTCAGGGAGCCAAACCGCAGCTGCTCCAGTCAGCAGAGTGTCCAAGAGCAACCCGAGAGGTCTTCGGCTGCTCAGCACCCCCTCCACCACCCTCTCCCGACCACCTCCCAAACAGGGCCGTCCAGTTGTGACAACAGTCACTTCACACAAGTGAGGTTTCCAACCCAGGCCTAGAGACAGCTGTCTGGTAAGAAAGGGTTAGTTTTTGGTGTCTCGCTTTCTCCTCAGCAGGCCCCTTTGTACCCCTTTACCCAGCGCCCTGCCAGCAGCACATCCCCCCAATCCCTCCTTCCTCATCCCAGTGTCCCCAGAACCTCCAGGCTGCGGAGGCCAGCCTTTCCTCCTCAGGGTACAGAAACTAAGAGCTGGAGATTCCCCAAACAGCAGCCATAGACTCGCCTGCTTGTTAAACAGAAGAGGAATCTCAGAAACTGGGCAAAGGAAAACAAACCTTCAAAGGAGAAATTTCACTTTAATGACATCATTAATCACTCATTTTTTAATTAGAAAAAGCTCCCTAATGAGGCGTTTTTGCCAGCTAACAGAACTCTCAATTTCCACAAGAACCATTCTTGCCCCGAGGATTAAGGGAGTCATTGCTCACCCAGCCCAGACCTTCCCCCAGAGTCTAATTTCATTTGCAAAGAATGCAGATTCTTGAGTGCAGTGGACCCCCTTCCTGGCATCCTTGGTGTCGCTCCTGGGACTGACTGGAAAGCGCCAACACTCCTCTGCCTTAAAAAACAGTGCCCGACACTGAACTCCCCCAGCACAAGGACTTGAATAAGTGGAAAACAAAACAAAACCCAAGCTGCACTGTTTGTTTCTAAGTATTTTTGTATTGTGTACATTCTGTATATTTTTGTTGTAACATTATTTGAGCACAGATTCCATTAAAGATTTTTTTTTTAAGCCATCGGTTATTCAGGAAGTGACCTGACGGGCTGGCATTGGAGCCTGTTCCCTCCGGATCTGGGCTGGGGCGGTGGGATCAGGTAGACGGCAGTGGTGCTGGGTCTACAGTTTATACAGTACAGATTAGGGCATCGGGGCTGGGCGCCAGTGTGTCTGGCTTGGTGGTTCTTAACCTTTCTTGAATTACTGAACTCTTGAGTGCTCGATGAAAGCCATGATTTCTTTTCCCATAAAAATGCACAGGCAGACAATTTTGTGTACAGTGTGGCAGGGCGGAGGGGCCTGTGAAGAAGGAAACTCGTGGCTTTATGTCAAGAACCTCTGTGGCAGGTCCTGGTGGGTGCCCGGACTCCTCCGCCCACTCTTACACTCTACCCCCATGAGGGATTAATAATTTGACTGTTATTATTGAGGGAATCTTCTTTAAAATATCTAGGTATTTCCTTCTTTATCACAATAGCCTAGTCTGTAGGTCTTTCTAGGGACTTTCAACAGCCCAATCTTGAGAAAGGGATAGGAATGTTCTCAGGGTAAAAGGGCATCGTTAGCTCACATGCAGAAGGGGAAAATAAGACGGGCTTGAATGTTGAAGGTGAAGTCTGGTGCTTGGGAAGTTTAACAATCAAGTGGGCTTTGAATGGATGAAGCCGGAGAGAGAGGGAATTGTTTTCACCAGTTATTCTAAACCAGTAGCAGTGTGTGTAGTTTTGCCTTTCGTAACTGTTAAATTTCTTTTGAGGATTAAACTAGCCTTTTAAAGTCAGCATGGGAGTTGTTTCCCATAATGTTCTTTCACATCAGTTTTCCTGTGTATCATTTAAAAATGCTTCTAAATGCACTCAAGTCATCCCAGAACAAACTTTACAGTTCAGGCTATAGGTCAAAGAACCCACTTCTGTTTGGAGTGTGGAAAACTGGCTTCCCCAGAAGGAAAATCAGGGCTCTGTCTGAGCACCAGTGTACCCATCGGTCCGTCGCCTGAGGCATTTAAAGAAAGGCAAGCTCCCCAGCCAGCCAAAAGCAGCTTGGCCTGGCCTTCGGCCCCCTGTTACTCTCCTCATCATTTTTATGGTTCCTCCCTTCTACCAGATTCTCATTTTTCAAAACAACATAAGATGTTTATCAATAATGTAATTACAAAGACAATTTACCTACTATGTGCTAGGCACTGGGTTAGACATTTTCAATAGATTATTCTTATTTAATTGCACAGCTACTTGGTATGAGGTTGGAATAAATATCCTCATATATACATATGAGAAGAAGGCTTAGAGAAGTTTAGTTAACTGCTGGAAGTATGTGGTACAGCTGGATTCACACCCAAGACTGCCTGCTTCCAAAATGCGTGCTCCTGGCTCTCAGATATTTGTATGGGACTTCAAGGACACTAAATTTGTAGGTCTCAGGGTGTTTGGAGCTCCAGTCTCATTGCATTAGGCCTAGTGCCACCAGGCACAGCAATGAACCTTGGAACATTCACTCAGTGTTGACTTAACAGATCTCCTCTTTGTCAGCCCTCCTAGAAGCAGTTTACAAGAAAATCCACAGCAACCAACTCATTACTGCTCCTTATCACCCCCACTAGAATCTAGCTTCTATGCCAACTTAGTGATTTAAAGTCTAAAGGCATATTTAGAAGTTTAGGAGTTATGGAATTGGAGCTGCCCTCTTAGACCTTCTGGTGGAAAGACTTCATTGAAGCCAACGGGATTGCCATTACTGAGACAACACATGGTTAGAGAAGCCTGCAGGCTTTCCTGGCATGTGGTATAAGTGATCCTCTGGTAAAGGACAGGCATTCTGTCATAGTTAACACTGAATGAAAGTGAAAGGAAGTGACAGGACACTGAGCTCTACAGGTGTAACTTAACTGGATAATGAATAAAACATTGTGATGGAAATTGCTCTTACACCCTACCTGATGCCTCCTGCAAGCAGCAGAAAGGTGTGTTCCAACAGGTGATGTGATTTTCTTCAACAAATTCTGTAGCATAACAAGTATAATTTCCCCATAAACTTGTAATATATCAGGCTTAATAAGAATTAAGCTCATTAAATAAAAATGACTGCATTGGTGAGAAGGTAAGTTGTTTTATTATTATTAATCCAAATATAATTATAGATAAACTGAGACCAGTTTTGAAACACGACACACATTTCCTGTCTGTGTATATAGCACACAAATAATACAGACGTATTCCACACCTGAACAAACCATTCTTAAAACTTTAAAAGTGAACATCTTAGCTTATGATTTAAATACAGTACATGTTTTTGGTCATGACCTCTTTGCGTTTCTTTTCATAGCCAACAAGATATTCAATTCCATGTCACCATTTTCCTTGTCTACAGTAGTGATACACAGTTTGTCACAGACTATTAAAATAAGACTATTGTATACACCTGTGTAATGGAGTGAGCCTACACTACAAAAAATACGTATGAAAGTACACATAAGGAACATGTAATTATACCTTAACTATATCCTTAAGTGACTTGAAGCAGGTAATACATTTCCTTTTAAATGCCACTTGCAATATGGACTCTTGATGACATGTGAATTTGAAAATGAAAAATACATTTTTCAGACTCAAAATGTCAATTTCTTAATGTTTACTTTAAAAAATGATTTCTAAGTGGGCAACCAAGTACATTAGAAAAACTCAGATTCAAGGGTACTGCCATTAAATTATTTCCCATAGTTCTGAATTTAATGCTATTTTAAAAATGCTACTTGGATTTTTTTTCTACACTGCCTATAATCCAGGTCATTAAATTTAAAACCATAGGAAAGGGAAACTCTCCTACACTGCTGGTGGGAATGTAACCTAATTCAACCATTGTGGAAAGCAATATGGAGGTTCCTCAAAAAACTAAAACTAAAAATAGCATTTGACCTGGGAATTCCACTCCTAGGAATTTACTGAAAGAATACAAGTTCTCAGATTCAAAAAGACATATGCACCCCTATGTTTATTGCAGCAATATTTACAATAGCCAAGATATGGAAGCAACCTAAGTGTCCATCAGTAGATGAATGGATACAGAAGTGGTACATATACACAATGGAATACTATTCAGCTATAAGAAAGAAACAAATCCTACCATTTGCAACAACATGGATGGAGCTGGAGGATATTATGCTCAATGAAATGAGCCAGACGGAGAAAGACAAGTACCAAACGATTTCCCTCATTTGTGGAGTATAACAATGAAGCAAAACTGAAGGAACAAAATAGCAACAGACGCACAGACTCCAAGAAGGGACTAGTGGTTACGAAAGGGGAGGGGAGAGAGGGAGAAGGGGATTGAGGGGTATTATGATTGGCACACATGGTGTGGGGGGGATCATGGAGAAGACAGTGTAGCACAGAGAAGGCAAATAGTGACTCTGTGGCATCTTACTACACTGATGGGGTATGGGGGGGACACGATAATAGAGGTGAATGTAGTAACCATATTGTTTTTTCATGCGAAACCTTCATAAAAGTGTATATCAATAATACCTTAATAAAAAAAAAAGAAGAAAAGAAAAATACTAAGAAATTTCAAGGACCAGCCCAGGACATCCATCAACAGATGAATAGGAGTTCCCCAACCCAACTCTCCCCCGCAAAAAAAAAAAAAATAAAATAAAATAAAACCATAGGAAAGCCTTTATGAAGATCCTGAATTGTATTTCTCATTAAAGAAAAGAAATGGCTTGGTGAGTCATGTCCTTAGACCTCTGTAGAAGAGAAAGAAGAGGGCTATTGTCAGTCATTTTGAAAGTTAAAACTCAGCACTTAATGTGATTTGGATGACTTTAGGAGAGGATTTTTATGGACTTCAGTTCCTCTGAGCATCCTGCGGGCAGTGAGAACACAAGACTTCTGATCTTCTAAACAAAAATCATTATCAAATGGATTTATTAAAGAGCTCTGCAGAACAGACTGCAATCATGTGTATACAGCTACAATTGGCTTCCGTGGGAATTATAAATGGCTTTAGCTGAGGGCGCTTTCAATTGATCAGAGTAAAACAATATGAGGCTTGTAACAAATGTACAAGAAACTAAAATCAATGAGTAACTCTACTATGAAGAATCTGTTTGCCTTTTTTATGTTACAGTTTGCTTGTAAAATTTATGTACTTTTTAAAAAATGTGTTTCTCTTTTAACACTGTTTAAAAACTCCAGCATTCTCATATAAAAGAAAAAAAGGACATACATGCCCTTGGCAAATACCTGTGAACAAATAAATTAAGAAAAGAGATGGGGGCCACTCCTGTAATAATTTTCCATCAGAGATAATGTTTTATCTTAAAGCTCATGCATTTATTTTTAAAGCTCATTTAATTTCTTAAAACTTACAATTTATTTGCATATTGACTTAAAAGCTGCTTCACCATCCATGCTATTATCAATCAGACAAAAAAAATCTATCAAACACCCACAGGATGCACAGATTTATCTTTGAAATGGTGTCATGGTGTTAATCTGTCCTAAGACTAGGAGTACATTCTTTTAAAGAAGCTATACTACATTGAAAAAAAAGTATTATGATTTTTCTGGGAGGAAAGGTTGCTAAATAGTGCAGCAAATTCCTCAGAGAAGCCACAAGATCACCTCTGACGTTTGTTAAGCAACAACTCCCTCAAGTCTAAAATTTATGGGACCAGCAGTATACTAAAGTTCCACAATTCTCACACACATCTATCCAGGATTCAGGGAAGATGTTCCTCAGACTTTTACATCTACTTAAAATTTGAAAAGTACAGAATGAAAAAATCTAGAATGTTTCAAATAATCTTAAATAGCAATCCTATGACAATTATAAAAATTGCAATTTCAAATGCAGAAGCTTAAATGTACAACTTCACAGTACAATTATTTCCAAATGTGATCAAAAACTTTGAGGAAGAGCTTCTTTCATAAATTCCTCGAGGACGGCTACCACATTTTTGGCTTCAGGCATTTCTTCATGTTCCACTTTAACAATCTTCAAAAGGATATCTCCACTACCACAGTTCTTTAGGAACATGTAACATTTAAACAAAGCATAATGACTCATTTCTGCCTGTCGGATAAATCTCTTCAAATTATTTGTGTCTTGTATGGCCTAGAACAAGATTACCCAGTTAAGTATGTGTTTAGTGAGAAAATCATGAAGCCTGAAACATATCTCTCCAACAGAGAACTAAACATATATTGCTGAAATGTTGGCTTTTTATTTAAATATTTCCATCATTTTATTGCTAATATGCTTTGCCCTTAGTAGAAAATCTCCTACATAAAAATATTTTTAAAACCTCCTCAGTTAGGTGACAACTCTCCTCCCCACCAGAATTTTGAACCCTTAGACACTAACCCACCTTTTTGTGCTTTCCACCTAAGATACATCACAAATTACAAGACTGATGTCTCTTAAGATATAAGCAAGTATTCAACCCAGTTAATTGGAAATGCAATGATACATATGCAGTATGCAGAAGCCACTGAAAAATATAAAGTAAATGCCTTCAGAGGAGTCTAGGATTTCTAGGACATTCTAGTCACCACAACTGTAATGCAGATTTGTTTTTCTGTCCCTGGTATTAACTAAAGTTCAAACAAAAATTCTATGTGGAACTTGGCACACGGTCAATTACTTACCTTTAGTTTAAAGTTCTCTAGTATTTGTCGAAAAAGAAAAGGGTTACCTCCTTCAGCACCATTCAAAAAAGCCTGCATCCAATCCTCACAAAACCGATTACTTCCTATATTTTAGAAAAACTGAATAAATAAAAATGAAATCCTACAAAGCGTAAGACATTTATTCTTTCCTCCTATTTATATACTTATTTTTATATTGTGGTGTAACTGACATATATCCTACTAGCTTCAAGTGTACAACATAATGATTTGGTATTTCTATACATTGTAATATTCATTCTTTATAAAAATGCTTACAATGAATTTTTTAAGACTTCTATACAGGTCTAAAAAAGAGTATATTTACCACCTGGCTAAGAAATGCCACAAAGGCTGAAGATTCTGTATACTTCTTCGCAATCACATTCCCCTCCTTTCTCATCAGAAAGGATTATCATTACCATGTATTTTTTTAAACTTCTGACACATACTTTTATAATCTCTAAACCCTATATAGTATTATTTTGCATATGTTAAAACTTAATGTATTTTTCTTTAATTGCTGTTTCACTAAATGGTATGTTTGTGAGCTATACTGAGACATGTAGCACTAGCCCATTCATGTTTGCTGCTATAGTATTCCACTGTGTGAATAGAGCGGTTTATCTATTTTCCTATTGATAAGGCATTTAAGTTGCTTCTAATTCTTTGCTATTTCAAACAATGCCTTTATGAACACTTTTGTATTTGTCTCTTTATATACACATGCAAGAGTTTCTCCATATACCTAGGAGTGAAATTGCTAGGCAATTGCTAGGCAAAACATGATATGATTCCATGTTTTTAAAATTGCTATTGTTTGTGATGAGTTTGAGATAAACATCTAAAACTGCAGGAGGCAGGAAGGACAAGTTTGTATCATTTACTCTTAGTGCAAAAACAGAGACTTACAAGAACCCTGGGAAGGCTGCCTCAGAGATCGTGGCTCACCTGCATTGCAGAACTGAGGCTGGGGGCTACTGCAGTCGATGATCACAGCTTTACGCTGCTCCTCCGTCATGGCCATGCACAAAGATGTCATGGTGCCTTCCTGAATAAGACCTTGAAGACTAGCGACACTCAGAAACCTGCCACACAAACAAGTCCTTTACCCAAACAGTATTGCAAGATGGGAGGGAGAAAGCAAATTCATTTTGCACTAAGGGGTTTTAAAAATGTAAATGTCAGGCTTGCAGTAGAAAAGGTTCTCTCTTTTCCAAACTGTTTTTTTACCTGTTAATGTCTCTCTTTGTTTTTTCATCTGATTCTTTAACCTCAACAGGAGTATAACTCAGAGCCTGTAAGAGAAAAATAAGCCTAACTGATACATGTATTCTAATTTTCTTTATAGAGCAGCTACTCATGACTAAACATCAACTTCCCCAACAACCCCCCCCCCCCACCGACTAGCTGATGTTTGAAGGGCACCGCCCCGGAGCTCTCCAGAGCCTTGTTCAGCTGCTGCTCACTCATAGATTGAAACCTGGCTTTACCACTCTGGTATCATGGGACCATCCAGTCTCGGCTGCATCTACGCACCACATATTTAAATGAAAAATCTGGCCATTTACTCAGTCCTTCCCCATTGTCTGGATAGTTTAGTGAACTTTTCATTTTTTTAATCTGGACATTTTTATAATGGTAAAATCACTTTGGATTTTTGTTTTCCTTCTCAAATGATTTTGGAAATTACATCTCTCTCAGATCACCTCAAAAAGTAATTATTTTTAATAGTTTTATTCTATTAGGAAGACTCAGTATTTGCAATTCTACCTTAGTAATGTAACTCTCTAGATCTGAGTAAATAGATTGTGGTCTATCCTGACTGCAAACTTAGTTTGAATGAATATTCAGGGAAGGGGGGATTAATGTTCAGAGAGAATGTCTTTAAAGAGCCCAAACTCTGCCAAAGTGATTCTTGATTCAGATACTTTTATTTGGGCAGTACTTACGGCATGTAGCAGAAAGGTAAGCTTCTCCTGAAAGAGAAGAACCACCCTTTGGATTGGACATACAACATCCTCAAACCAGCTGCTCAGGTAGGACTTGATGTGGTTTTCCAGGCCCCTTTCCTAGATCAAGAAAGAAAGTCATTTGCCTTCACCCTAGTGAACTTAATATTTTCTTTACTATACTCTTGACACCACCAGCTCAAAGAAAAGAGTTGTAATATAACTTTCTTGGGCTTTGTTGGGACAGATTGGGGATTACCTCTGTCCTAAATTTCTTAAAAACACACTAAGACATGCATTATTATCAAACTAAAGAAACTTAATAGGGTTCCACGCTGTTTCTTGATTGGGAGGTGTGGACACATACCCATCTCCCCCACTACACTGTGGACCCACTGGAGATACTCTCTTTATCCTCATCTCCCCAGCACCTGGTACAGTATCTGGAATGTCCACATATGAGCTTACAAAGTGCCTGCTGAATGACCGAAGGAATGTAGGCAGTTCATTCACACTCAAAATGTGAATAGGAAAGGATACGAGTTAACTCACCAAAGCACTCAAGCCCATTCCACTTCTTTTAGACATGCTGCTATGAACACATCTGGTCTTCTAGATTATGCTGCTGTCTGGGGACTAGTGGAATCGCTCCATTCTGGGGAAGTAGCTACTAGATTCACCCCTGGCTCACTCCTATGTTATCCTTTCCTTCCCTACAGTGCCTTCTAAGTGCGTGACAAGTAAAAGGAATTATTACCACATCTAATGGGTAATAATTTATAAGAATTATGACTTGAACAATTGTCACAAGCTGAATGTGTAGTTTTAATAAAGATATGGATAAATTAATATGGATATATCTAATTCATAAAAGATTAACAAAAAATGAATGTTCTAAAAATCTTTGATGGTGAGTTCAAAGACAGTCATACCATTGCATAGCATGTCTCTGGTGCCAGAGACTTCGTTGACCATTAGTTCTCATCAGAATGTAAATCATATGTGCCCAGAAAGCTGGAAAAGAGCATGCTCTTCTTCACTTGGCATATTACCATATACCATTGAATTTAATGAATTTTTCATGGCTCAGAAAGTCTTGTGGAACTTACAGCACTTATAAGACTATATTCCCTGCTTCCCTTAACAAGCACATTCCTACACCCCAAAAAGTAGCACATTTTTTCAATTTAGGTATCTTTGTGTCCACCTGTTTCATTTGACAAGTATAAAAACTATTAAATTCATCATCATACCTCACAGTTCATGTTATTTTTCAGTCCTTGAATGTATTTGTCCAATTCAAGCCTGAAAGTATATTCTTAAGGAAGCAATAAGGGATGAATCAAAACAGTGTTTTTTATCTCCCAGTAGGAAATAAAAATCTCTCAAATAATGCAAACTACAAATAAAAATAAGCCAAGATAAACTGGTCATATGAAGGTATGAAATTCAAGTAAATACATAAGGGGTAGAAAAGCGTTTGAAGGTTGGTAGTAATACTCCTCCACTTGCCTTCCCACATTTTCCTTCCTGAGAGCCTCAAAAAAGACCACAGAAAGGATATAGCTCAAGTCCTTTTTCAGATCCTCCTAAAAAACAGACCACATACTCTGAAGGGTTATGTTCAGGGTCCTTTGTTGCTGTTTCAGTAGGCAGTTTTTCTTGTTGGAAAAGACAGTAATAACAACCAATGTGGTAACCAGGAATTCTAGAAAAGAAAGAAAAATGTAAAATGTATTATCTTGATAACTCATGCATTTAATTTTGTGGACTAGTCTGAACCCTGGTCATCTTCATCTGGCAATACTGGTAGATTGCCAACTAGGTCAGAACCTCCCAGACTTCTTGGCTTACTCCTAACAGCAGAGGAACATGAACATATACCATTATGGGATTTAGCTAAAGCAGCACCAGTCCAAACTCTTTTGATGTGACCAGCCTTGGTGACCTTTACTTCTCTGAGTTTATTTCCTCATTTGCAAATGGAAATAAGAGTATCTGCTCTATCATCCTTTTGCAGGAAGAATGGCGTCAAAAGTTCGTGAAAGCACTTTACAGACTGTAAAGTATACAATTTTAGTTTTGTACTCTTCGAAATTCAAGACTAAATATAAATAAGTACACTTCGGAGGCAGAGTCTCTGCCATTCAACTGATTCCATTCCACAAATGTTTATGGGCTCAGGCTGCCAGAGAACAAAGATGAACTTTGCAGGTCCAATAGGAACTGATTTTTTGGAGTTTCTTATCACTTCTCATATATAGCTTAGAAATAAAAACTCAGGACACAGCATATTTTCCACTTACCTCAGCTCCACAGATGCAACATTACCCAGTCCTTCAAAGACTGCTCCCTTAGAAAGACGCTTAGCAATGAAACTGCGCAGCTCCGGCTCCACTTCCGGTGCTAGATTAGTATCCGCCAAGGAGAGGCTTGACAAACAGAAGACACACGTTCCTTAACAGTGGACTACTGTATTCCCACCCCATCAGAATATTACTGAAGCTAGAGTGTTTTCAAGGACTTGAAAAAGCCTGCTATATGACTGTTGGAGAAGCTTTAGTAATGCATGTCACCAACTGTGAGCTACCTCATCAAAGAGTTTAAAATACTATCTTTCCAGCTCATTCTCTAGTATTATGACTCCACTGGGCTCCCCCATCCAGTGACCCTACCTCTTTTCCATTCCCTCAAGATTCTCATCTCTGCACTCTCCTCCTCCCTACCCAGCTTAAATTCCAGTCAATCATTATAACTACTCTCCTGTGCACATCTTCATTCAACCCCTTTGGTTTTTTTGTTTTTTTTTTTTTGCCTTACTGTACTGGTTAGCAAAACTTCAGCGCTGGTTTGTCCAGCTCTCCACCTACTCTATACCTGCACCTTTGCAGTTGACTCTGGTTAGACGAAAACCCACATCCAGTGTAGGATCTCATTTTAAATTACTGATCATGAGCCTCAAGTGGGCTCTTACTGCTGCCCAGCTATTACTACGTTTCTTGGTTCACTCCTCTCTTACATTGCCATTTCATGCCTCTTCTCCTTTCCTCAGTTCTCCAACTACCTACTACCCATGAATAAACATAGATTAGCAATCATTTTATGAGCTCAAAATAAAAATTTCAGGTTCACTTACGTTAGAATATAAACAGAAACTATAACTTGAATATGCAGAAAGAACGGTCTTCTATCACCAAACTTCCCACTAGAGAATATGAACCCAATATTTCTGAAGGTCTTTTACTTTATATTATGGAAAATTTCAAACATATAAAAAGTAGAAAGGATAGTATAATGAACCCACATGTACCCACCACCCAGTTCTAACAATTATCAGCTATGGCCAATCTTGTTTCATCTGTGGCCCCATGATGTCCATACCTTCTCACCTTCCAGATTTACTTTGAAGCAAGTCCCAGACATCATCCATAAATTTATCACTAGATATTTCTAAAAGATGAGGACTTTAATGTGTATGTGTATATATATATATATGTGTGTGTGTATATATATATATACACATATACATATGTATTTATGTATAACCACATTATGACATCTGAAAAATTCCTTAAATTATCCACCATACAGTGAACATAATGCTTCTGTTTTATACACTACTTTGCATCAAGTTGAAAGGTTCATTCATTCATTCACTTACTAAATATATGTTAAATGTCTACTCTAGGCCAGGTTCCACTCAAGGTTCTAGGTAGGTAGACATCAATGATGGAGTTTACATTCTAGTGTGCAACAGAGTATGCTATGAAAGGATATTCAAAGGAGAAACGGGAAGAATTTAAAAGTTCTTGATACCTACATGATACTGAATATTTACTGGAGTTTCAATAAAGAAACTCAGAATAATTCTCACCAGGGGCACTATCAATACTGGGGCTGCCCAGCCTTGAAGGAATGAACTAATGAGGAAATCAAGGTGTGGCTCCTTGGGGACAGGTAGGCTTGGTGATTTGACTCAGAGAAAGCAAAGTGTAAATAGGCACCCACTGACACCTGCAGCCAGAGGTGCCTGGAAGATAAAAGCACATGCATGGGTCATGGTCAAACTGTTTTTACCTGAAATCATCACTAGAGGGGGTTTCTGCATTTGTGCCACTTGGGCTTCCATCATCACTGTCCCCTCGCTGCTGTGCCAGTCTGCATGCCACAAAAGCAATACAGCTATCAGTTATGGGCTCTCCACAACACACACACCGCAAGCCGGGAAGGGGCGAATAGTCAACTAAATACTGCAAGGTAGAGACGCGTGGGTCCTCCATTGCCTATCCTTGTGGCAGGGAAAACCCATAAAACAGGGCTGACAAGAGCCCCTTCTCTCTCCAGGCCACCTAAGTAGATTAAAAATCCAGAGGAGTAAAGGAAATATCCTCTAAAAAAACAGACTTTACAGGGCCAAGAGAGCCCCAGGAAAGTCTGCCCAGCCAGGGAGAGGAAAAAGAGGCATCAAGGACAGAGAATACCCAGAAGGTGGGGCTGGGGCTGGGGATGTGTGAGGGAAATGGAAGAGAGGGGAGATAATGACAGGAAGGATGGGGGATGGAAATTGACATTATGGAGCGAGTCAGGCACTGCGCTAAGCAAAGGGCAGGGGCGGCGACCGTAAGGGGCTGAGAAGATGGCAGGGGCGGCTGGAGCGAAAAGACTTGGAAGGACCGGGCAGAGAAGTCCAGGATGGTGGCCCGGAAGATCAGCGTGAGGGGAGGGGGGCCCTTCGGGCAGAGAGACCTTAGCTGGGAGAAGAGAAGACGCCGTTTGCTAGCGGCCAGGCCTCAGGCCCAGAAATGGGAGGCGGGGCCGGGACAGGGCCACAGGGGCTGCCGAGCGTTGCACCTGCTTCCGCGATAGCTGTAGAGACAGTAGTGGCTGCTGGGCGGCGGCTCGAATCTCCGCTCCTCGGCGGAGCCACCTTCCTCGCTGCTCTCTAGCTCCTTTTCATCCCCATCCAGTGATTCCTGCAAGGAGGGGAGCATCGCGGCGGCCGGCTGGCGGCCCTGTGTCCCCGCCAACACGCTCCCCAGCTGCCGTACAGTCCTTGGTGGCCGGGCTCGGTCCGCTCCCGGCTCTCGCACACCTGCGTTCCGCTGGCGACCCCAGGTTCCCTGGCCAAGAAGCTGGCCTGGAAGGGCTTTTCTCCCCGCGGGGGCCAAATTATCTTTACGGAAAAACTTTTACCATTTCTCCTTAACTCTATTTTCTCCTCTGCCTATCGTTTAAGACGTGTAGGAGATTTACTGTGTGATAAAGATGGTATAACTAGCTAGTCGCACGGAAAAGAAGAAAGCTGCCTCCTGTCGGCACAGGAACACGCAAGTACATGTACCAGTTTGATCAAAGATTTAAGAATTTAAAATGATAGCCCCCTCTCCCAAAAAAGGCGAAAGTACAGGAGAATTTTTTTTTTTTTTATTTCTAAGCCCTTTCTAAACAATAGCAAAACACTTGGAAGATATACAGGATGTAAATTGGTGCAGCCACTGTGGAAAACAATAGGAGGCTCCTCAAAAAAACTAAAAATAAAAATACCATAGCACCCAGCAATTCCACTTCTGGGAATTTACATGAAGAAAATAAAATCACTACTTCAGAGAGAGATGTGCACACCTATGTTAATTGCAGCATTATTTACAACAAGATATGGAAGCAACCCAAATGCCCATCGACAGATGAATGTGTAAAGAAAAGGTGGTACATACACACAATGGAATATTAGTCACAAAAAAAAGAAGTGAATCTTGCCATTTGGGACAACATGGATGAACATAGAGGGTGTGATGCTAAGTGAAATAAGCCATGCAGAGAAAGACAAAAGCCATATAATTTCACTTATATGTGGAATCTAAAATCCAAAACTAACAAAGAAAGAAATAGGCCCATAAATATGGACAACAGACTGTTGGTTACCGTAGGGTAGGGGTGAGAATGGGCGAATAGGTGAAGGGGACATAGAGGTACAAACTGCAAATTGTAAAATAAGTTAGTCATTGGAATGGAAGTACAAC